TCTATCTATCTATCTATCTATCTATCTATCTATCTATCTATCTATCTATCTATCTATCTATCTATCTATCTATCTATCTATCTATCTATCTATCTATCTATCTATCTATCTCTATCTATCTATCTATCTATCTATCTATCTATCTATCTATCTATCTATCTATCTATCTATCTATCTATCTATCTATCTATCTATCTATCTATCTATCTATCTATCTATCTATCTATCTATCTATCTATCTATCTATCTATCTATCTATTTGAAAGATGTTTTAACTCAGTACAAAGCACAAAAGTGTTATTAGCATTATTCAAAAAGTAGTGAATTGAAATTCAAATTATTTGAATGTTTATTTAAAATAGTCAAAGTAAATTCAATTCAAGCGTGACCTCAAATAAAAAATCTTTGGAAATAAAATAAAAAAGCAAATTGTTAATTCAGAAATTCTAGCAAATAAATAAAAATAAATTGTCAAAACCTTTTCACAGCACCCTGTATTATAATTAATATTAGCATTGGTGATTTTGCAGCAATATTAATTTCCTCTGTGCACATAACACAAATGCATTTGTACTAGATTTTACAAATTAGTCACTTTGTCTAGCAAATGAATAATAATTCATATAAAAAAAAAAGAATTAAAGATCATTAAACTTATAAACAATAACTTTCTACTCCTTTTCCATAGACTCGCCTATTTCCCGGTAATACTTCACCATTTCGCCGTGTCTGGGAACAATCCTCTTTACGTACACCTCGCTCCGATAAATATGCTTTAAGTGGTGCTAAGCAAAAGAGTCCCGGTTTACGTTGTTCAGCTTCCATGATTACAACAGAAAGTAATGTCTTTAGTCATACATCCTCCTCAGATCCCAAACCATGTTCCCATATTAAAACATCACCGAGTGCTAATCAGAAAATGCCTATGCGTACACAATCGGAAAAGTTGATTAACTCACAAAGCAATGGGGTCAAATCATGGGCCAATTCTTTTGAACATTTATTGCAGGAGCCAGCAGCATTGGCCACATTTGCGGAATTCTTGAAATTGGAATTTTCTGCTGAAAATATTTACTTTTGGACAAGCTGTGAACGTTATCGTAATACGGAAAATCTCAGCGAGCGTCAGGCTCAGGCTAAACAAATATTTCAAAAATATTTAGCCAATGGCTGTCGTGAGCCCGTCAATTTGGATTCGCAGACACGCAATCTAACCGAGGATATGCTAAAAAATGCTGAAAGTAATTTATTTGTAGCGGCACAAAAACAAATATTTCATTTAATGAAATTCGACAGTTATCAACGTTTTATACGTTCCGATTTATATAAGAATTGTGTGCTAGCAGAGGAAAAAGATCAACCTTTACCGTATGGTGCTGAAAATTTGGATGCTTTATTGAAGACAAATTTTTTACAAAATGCCTCACCAAAGGTAAGTTGTTTTTTTTATTTCATATACAAAGTAAATATTTTAAATTTGTATTTCTTATATTTTCAGTTAAAAAAATCGGCCAGCAACGCCGAAGATCGCCGCCGTAAAATAATCTTACCTTGGCATCGTAAAACTAGAAGTAAATCCCGTGATCGTGTGGATCTGTTAAATGAAGAACATTCCTTAGCTAATAATGATAATAACTCTTCCGATGGCAGTTCGAATGGTTTAAATACTCTCTTAGTACCCTCCTCTAAACTGGCCCAATTCTCTTCTACTCTACCTCCTCCACAAACCACCAAACCACCTGCAGAAAACTCTGATAGTCAAATACAAAATCTAAGATCATCTCTACCCACTTCCCTAAAAGCAGTGGAAATTGGTTGCTCTCTATGTCGGGTTAAATTCTGTGATGGTGCCACCACCATTGTACAGATAAAACCCAACGAGACCATACAACAATTGGTGGAACGTGTCTTGGAAAAACGTGGCTTACGCTACAAACTGTACGAAGTGGTCATTAAAGGTCACAACAAAGCCATGGATTTACAAGCCTCCACTCAGGAGCTGGCCGGCGAAGAAGTAGAGATCGAACAGCGTGTCACTTTTAAACTCTATTTACCCGATCCCAAAGTTATTTCAGTTAAAAGTAAACCAAAGAAATATTTACACGAAGTAGTGAGACCAATTCTACAGAAATACAATTATGAATTGGAGGCGGTCGATGTTTTACGTCGTGATAATCAAGAAAAAATTGATTTAAGTCAACTGGTAACAACAGCCGATGGTCTACGTTTGCAAATTGTGGTTGTAAAGAAGACTGGAGAAACGGCCAGCAGTATGGTGGACTATCAAAATGATAATATTTCCATGAAATGGTTGAAATCTAAAGAATTGGCAAATGAAATAGTGGCACGTAATGCCATGGGCAATAGTTTTCGCAATAATTTACGAAGTTCGCAAAATAATTTAGATGCAATCACCAATAGTATTTTTAATGATATTATACAGGATAAAGCAAAGCCGGAATCTAAACTACAGATGACAGATCAGTATTCTATTAAGGTAAGTTATATATTTATAGGCATTTTATATCGAACGAAATTTCCTTTTAAACTCTGTTGGAAATACTTACCCCCTTAACTTACATATACATATGTAACAAATTGAGACCGTCCCTTTTCTATTGCAGTCTGATGAATGCGGTTCAGAAGCCTCCTCAATGTTTGGCACCTTGAACAGTAAAAAAGATGGACAAGTCATGTCAATGTTACGACTGAAAAATAAACCATATGCGTCCAACAATCAACAACATTCCATGGAAGCTAATGTCTCCTCAAATAGCTCTCAAACATCAAACGAATTTAATAAACCCATCATAGCCAAACTGAAGGCAGGTGTAAAATTACAAGTTACCGAAAGAGTGGCAGAAAAACAAGGTTTGTTGTAACACAATTAAAACTCAAATAGAAAGAAAGCTTTAATAAATTATTCTTTATTTATAGATGAACTACTCCTGAGCTTAAAAACACGTTTGGATAATCAAATCTCTACAGAAAACAATAATGATAATAGCAATGAAACTGATCAAATGTCTGCCGTAAATTTACGACGCATAAGAGCTAATTTAAGTCCGGTTAATAAAACAAATCCCCTTAATGAACGTCCTTTAAGCCTAGAAAGACCTCAGCCTTTAACTAGACATTCTTTAGGCAATAAATTACCATTAAATAGACATTCTACCGAATCAATTAAAACGCAAAATGAAAGTGATTCGACAACAATAAATGCAGCTAATAAAGGACCACCACCTTTACCACCAAAACCAAAGGTTCTACCAACAAAACCCTCTAATTGGGGTTTTAATATCTCTGACCAAACAACACTCCAATAGCAATATATTACTGAATTTTTTATACTTATTTATGTATGTTTGTTTGTTTATTTATCTATATGTAATTTTAACCAAATAATCGTTATTTTGTATATAAAAATGTTTATTTTTTCTTATTTTTAAATTAAGCAATAAAATATATGAAAAGTATTCAATACTATGAAGATTGCAAAGTGTTTAATTAAAGACTTTTTAAAAGTTCTAAAAATAAACAGAATCAGAATGCTTTATAAATCGGGCATTTCTAAGTGGCTGGTCTGTTCGGAATAAAATTTTACATCAGTAGATTTTTGCTGTTTTTTAAAAGGTAACATTACGAAGAACATGTTGGTTCAAAAATATGATCCAAATTTCAATTTTGGGCCACATGTTTTAGAATCTCAAACTCGGAATGAAGGAAACCAGTCTTTCAAATTTTTTTGGTATAGCGCCGCCACGTGATCATTTATGGGGTCCATTTTCAAAACATAATCGAATACCCCTTGGCTACGCCCATCTCAACTTTTAATCCGATCGACCCAACCGTTTAGAATACCAGATCTACATACATACATATATCCAAAAATTATTGATTCTGTCTCACTGTGCATTAGTACAATAATATTTAAATCAATACCAAAATAATTTTAATAAATATACCAATTTCATTGAATTATTTTTAAAATTGTTTAGACTTTTTCAATGGCCTGAAAAAAGTAAAGAAATTGTTCTTCGCTGCACAACGATCCAATTCCCAATCGGCCAAAAATAACATTGGCGCTAGCAACCTGAAGGTTTTTCTGGAACAGATGATGGACAAAAAGTCAAGGTACTATGTGGGACGATTATTTGTAAGTGTTAAATATCACCACTAAAGGAAAATACCCTCAGCACACAAGTAATCCCAAATAATACTATATATGTACATACATATTTTAAAACTTACCTTTTATTCATAAAAATTGTATCTCAAAAACTTGACATTAATCACTATTCTAGTGCATTCCGCTAACTAATTTGCCTTTTTTAATATGTTAATTTTTTCATTAATAAACTTTAAATTATGTAATTTAAATGCTCTTTGTTTAACAAACAAAATAAAAACAAATAAACACTTCACATTTTTATATTAAAAACTTTTTTTGTTATCATTTTTTACTACACTTTATTCACAGATAGAATTTTACTTTTTTAACCGCCATTTATTTATGTAATTGTACTTGCCAACTGATATCAAGATTTTTAGTTGGCAATACAAGGCAAAAATACTGCCACATGTTCATAATTTAATTTACCAACTCTATGGCAGCACTGTTTGAAAAAAAAACATTAGTTTCAAAATAACGAGGACGCGCGCAGAGATAGAAGCCGAGAAGGTTCAATTCGGCGGCTGGCCGTCGGTAATATTTTGCATGCCGCTGTTAAAGATTGGAATCGCACATGTATTTCAGAAAATTATTTCACCAATTTGAACGGAGTTGCCACTTTTTTAATTCTTATAATATTAATATAGTGAAAACTACTATAATAATGTCCATTTTCAGCTTATATAGAGACAGGTTTCTATATAACAGACTATTATACAGAGATTTTTCAATATAGTAAACTCTTTTAAGATCAATTGAAGAAAAAGTTAAATTGAGCCAACAATTTAGCCGCCGCCGATATTTTCTATAATAAGCCGCCGACCTAAAATGGTTGCGCCGCAACCGTCGATTCGGCTTGTATCTCACGCGCGTCGTACAATTTTAGTAAACAATTTTAAAATTTAAAATAAAATATTAAATAATTAAAACAAATCAAGTTTTTAGTAAAATGGAAACACCCAAACGTGTTTTACGTAATTTACATTTAACTAATGCCCAAGAACCCAATACCCCATTCCAAGTACCCGCATCACCACTCATGAAAAGTTTGGGTTATGGCACCGGCGTTAATGTTTATTATTTGGAACGTTCTCCTCGTCCTACCGGACAGATACGTTCTCCCTGGGCCATTAAAAGAGTTTCCAAACGTGTAAGAGCCACAAACAAAGAAAATTCCAAACTTTTCAATGAAAGAATAGTTAAAGAGGCAGAAATTTTACGCAAACTAAAACATCCAAATATTGTGGGTTTTCGTGCCATAAAACAGGATAAGAAAAATGGTGTTGATACCTTGGCTTTGGAATGCTGCAGTACTTCGTTGGGTATATTATTGGAAAATCGTTTAGAAGAGGGTCTCAACGCATTGCCGGCTCAACATATAAAGAGAATGATGCTTGACATATCCAGTGCTTTGGATTATTTACACACAGAAGTAAAAATGCTGCATGGAGATTTAAAATCACACAATGTTTTGGTTAAGGGCGAGTTTGAGATATGTAAACTTTGTGATTTTGGCGTAAGTTTACCTTTAAACAATGAGGGAGTAGTGAATTTCGCAGAAAATCCTCTTCTACACTATGTCGGCACAAATCTATGGTCTGCTCCGGAAGTTATAAGCGAAGAAGATGTTATTGACTGTAAAGCAGAAATTTTCAGTTTTGGCTTGATTGTTTACGAAACTATTGCCTTAGTGCCACCTCATACCTTAAGTTTGGACGACACAGAAAGTGAAATTGCTTCAGATGATGAGGACAACGATAAACCGGGAAATTTTACACTCATGGAAATGGCTTATGGTACTAGACCCGCTTTACCGCAGGCATTTGAGCTAAATGATGATTATAACATTATAGTGGAGTTATTTTACTTGTGCACGAACTCTTCACCGGACAATCGTCCCACGGCAAAGGTTATTTATGATTCTTTGACAAAGGACCAAGAAAATTAATAGTTTTGTGTGTAAAAACTTATTCTTAACCTCTAAGTTTTATTTTAACTGAATTGAATTCTCTTTATGCCTAAGAATTTTAAAAAATATATTACATTTTAACACCACCGAGTATTAAAAATCTTCAACAAATTCTTTTCAAAAGTAATCAATATTCGTTCTCAATAAAGACAATTTTATGCATTCGTTATTGCATTACCTCTCTAAAATACATTATTATTATTATGGTTATTTCCAAAACCTCCAATTTTTACATTTATTATGTTCAACATATTTAGCAGAGAAGTGAATTATAACTTAAAACATACCCTTACTTTGTTTAAAAGCAGCACCGGCCTTACGATTATGATTAGCTCGGGACGACTTATTGGCCTCCTTTTTCTGGCGATTGCGTAAGACATCTTTCTCCTGACCTTGACCTTTGGCACGACCCACCACATCTTTTGGTTGCTGCTGTGGCACAAAATTTCCTTTTTTTGCCCATTTTGCCTGACGTCGGGCTTCATAGCGAGCTCTTATGTCTTCCGGATTTTCACAGAAATTGCCATTTTTATTGCGTTGGTTGTTATCCGTTTGTTGTGAGGATTCCTCTTCCTCGCTTTCGCTTTCATCCTCCGATACATCGGCCACATTAGCCAAGACATTCTTAAGATCTTTAGACTTGACCACTCGAGTTTCACTCTCTAGTAAAGCTTCATAACTATCATCATACTCATCGTTATATTCGTCATCATCGGAATCTCTTTCGGTGACGAGGGAATATTCTTGATAACGGTGTTTAATGGCTGCCAAATCGCGTTTGTCATCCAATAGTTGTGTAGCATTTTGAGGAGCATTGGGAAAACCTTTGCCTTGTTTTATAATGCACTGGGGATTGTCCTGTGTCATTACATCGTATTTATCGCCATCATAAATATTAAAGTGTTTGACGCCAGTCTGTTCATATAATTTATCTTGAGGATCGGGTGGAATATAAACTTCACTGTGATCGGCCTGGGCTAGATCAGGAGGCAAATTATTTTCCAGAACAGCGGCTATAGCTTCTTCACTGGTGTCATAACGTGATATAAGTTTTCTCACAAAACCCGTGCCCAAGTGTGGTAAACAATCTAAAACCATTGTAACTTCCAATTCCAAATCACGTTCAGAAGATGGTTTAGGTTTGTTAACAGGTTCGTTTACTTTTTCTTCAACTTTAGATTTTGTTTGGTTAATTGCATCATTGGTATTCAATAACTCATGATTCGCTATTAAGTTTTGTAAATTGTTTATCGTTTCCTTTTCCGCAGTTTCAGCTTCTTTTTGATAACCCTGTACCACAAAGTTAGCCTTAAAGGTGTCCCTAGAAAGTTGTATATTAAATAATTATAAGCTTTTATTAAAAATATGTAAACATACAAATCCTCGCAAGCCTGTTTCAATATCTCCATATCCAAAGCCACGGAAAAGTGTCTCTCATAATCTATAACAAAAGTCTGTTCTGACAGGCACTCAGTTAATAAACCAATAAATTCTTCGGTGGCCATTATACTGGCTTTGCTGAAAATTATAAATTAATTTAAAAATGATCTCCATTTTTAATAAATTTTTCACTGCTTACGGTTTTGCCAGTACCTCTTCCACATAGGAGTAGGAGATACTACGAAATGCTTGCAAGAACTGCAAACGGGCCTGATTAAGCCACATTAAACTTTTGGCAGTTTCATTTATAAGATAAATATTTTTATACAAAAATGCCAAAGTATTATCATAAAAATTTGCTATACTTTGACCCAATTTCATTTCTCCACACAAACTCCTAACCGCAGGACAAACGTTCAGTAGAACACTTAATGTGAAGGCACAGTCCAAAGTGTACAAAGCCACATCATCGAAGGGGGTTTCACAAGTGTCATCGGGCAGACCACCACCCGCCCCTTCAAAACCCTCATTCTCGGTTTGTGTTTGAATGGAACGAAAGGCAGCACGAAAGAAGTTTAAGGCCGCTATTAGATCCTTTTTATAGTTCGGTTCTATGTTCAGGAGAGTATCAAAAATTCGCTGCAATATGGCAGCATTTTCAGGACAAGCATTTCCCACCGCCACCAGTAAGTCAAAGAGCATGGGCACAGAGATCAGATAATTTTTATAGATTAGTTCACGCATATCATCTTTCTTTAACCAGCAATCGGCTGACTCTTTAGGTGTTAATAGACGACAAATGATACGTAATACCAAATTGAGTAATGTCTCATAATCAGCTTGCACATTGTCACTGGGAGGCTGCGAACAAATGTTTATATAGAATGGTGTAGCCTTTTGAAGAAATGATACTATGCAGCCCAGAGCAGATTTCTGAAATACCATATAGGACCAAAATCTGAAAATAGCAAATTATGAAATATTTAACTGCCTGTTTCACAATATAGAAACAACATTTTCATTCTTATAAATATATTGAAAACAAAAACAAAATTTTAAATTTATTTTAACTTCCAGAGATCAAGCTATTTTCCAGCTATATAATAAATATTATGAAGTAAGAATGCTTTCTTTCGCAATTTTAAAGTGAATACTGTTTTTAGCAAGGATCGTATACATACTCATGATGCTTTAAGCTCAATAAGAACTCCAAATCATTTTTAAAATTGTCTGCCTCATGTTGCCATTCCTGTAAAGCGGCGCCGGTTTTGTAATGACCACCAGCTACCACCAAACTAGTGTAGTTAGAAAATATCGACCGGGGAGCCCAATATTTGTCCAAAGCACACACGTTCTTTTTAACTCCATCATCGAGCACGACAGGGAAAAATAAATCCTTTAAAGATTTGTTATCCGGATTCTAGTTAAATAATAATAATAAAATTTATATTTTTATTAATATTTAAAAATATTAAATGAAAAATGGTCTCACCTTAAATTCATTTACTATATTTGTTGGCATATTTTCGAATTACAATTAATTTTTCATCAATTGCTGAAATTGCACAAAAAGCGAAATATTTTA